AATTTAATGTGGTGCGACCATGATTTATATTAAAATTAATTATTTTCCTTAACATGCTTAACATTTTTTAGACGTTCTCAGTAAATAAAGTGTTTAGAAACAAAGTATTTGTAAAAGTTTTTTGTAAATAATGATCTCATATTTTGTTCTACAATTTCAGAGTTGCCTTCTTAAATGTAGTTAGCAGACTTTTTTTCTGTCAATTGCAAAAAACTGATCAAATATTTTAAAAAATACCATTCACTTAATCATACTGTAGCACTGATGCATATTTCAGCCACAGAAATTAGATAATTTATTTTTTAATTTAATATAGTTATTGCTATTATTGGTCACACCACATGATGAGTGGTCGCTCCAAATGTCACAAAGACTTTATATCATTAAAAATCTATTTAAAGAAACGTCTGAAAAGTTCAGCACATGGCATTAACTGCAGTCATTTTTTTAGACCCAGTTATTTCTAAACTTTGCCCAATCTTGACTGCTCAATTGACACTATGCCGGGAGTTTGATTAACAGGCGATCTAAACAAACATAATGCCAAATGCCATTTTTTTCCCCGACAAACAACCCAGACAGGAGAGTAGATTAACGTCGGTGGACTTGAACTTGAAAAATAGTGTGTATTGACAGCTTTTCACAGTTGAAACAAGATACCTTCTGATGTTCATTCATGTTTATTTTGTGCTATAACTAGTAAGAGTTGATGGGTTCACATGCCGCTTGAACTGAGGTGCTACAGCGATCTGTCATGACACATTAAAAAGCCACAAAACAGTATTTGTTGTTTGAATTCCTTAAAAAAATTACAATATTTGAACTCTGAGGCTTTGCTCAAAAGTGATGTATTTTTCACTGCACAAGAACATGATGTGTGTCATAAACGTGCCATGGTTTGTCGGATGGTTTGTCAGACGTTGCAACAGTAACTAAGGGCGGGTCTTTGCAAAGGGTCAATTTAGAGTAGCGGGAGGTTGCTGGCTCAGGTTCTGAGATGAAATCATAAACATCTTTCTTACAGTAGAAAATTACATCTGGAGTTTGTGCATGACTGCAAGGTCAGAATGAACATGCTGCCTATGGCGAGCGTTTATTTTACTTTGCTTGGCAGTGGAATCTGGTCAAATAGATGAAAATAGTTATTAATAAATATAGAATAAATTACAAATAGTAATTAGTACCATAGTTACAAAACTAAAAGTACATGCTCTAAATTATTATTTTTGCATTTTTTTTTTATCATATTGTACAAAGATTCAACATAAACCATCTGAACTTGTGTACAGGATTACAAAACACATTGGAAATCATGCCAAATAGTGCAGAAAATTAATAAAAGTTAAAGTTGGCACATATGTTGGAGAGGTACTTATATATGGCATCTTTTTTATGCATTTAAACCAATTTTTAACTGAAAAAATGCAATCGGACACAAAATTTTGGCGTCAGGTCATTGACCCATATAACAATTTTTATGAATGCAGAAATATGTTAATTCAGTACACTACCATAAAACACAATTTTTCACACACTTTTCCAAAAATAAAAAATACAAAAAAAATTTTCAAAGGGTTACTAATGAAATATTTGGATATTTTCATGTCTGGGGGAAAAAAAACTGGGATTAAACGGGTTAATATGAAGTGAAAGCCGTGTTAATTTAATGTGCAAAACGATCAAAATTGTTTAATTTTCTTCTTTCTTAATTTTTTATGTAATGTTTATCACAAAGACATCTTGAGCGGGAAAGTCAAGACAAAGAAGCGTGTGTGGGAGGCGACGGAAGCGTTCAAATTTAGAAGCCTGTGATTGGCTGATGTGTCTGCCTAGCCGGCCGATTTCTAACCAATGAAATACGTTTATTTCAGTCATTGTGAGAAAAGACCCAATCAGGTAATAGCAGCCAGCCCTCTTAAATTAGCATGAGCATTCAATAAATACTCAGTACATGTTTTTGAAATTGTGTTGAGTTGTTCTTCTCATCGTAAGCTAACATGCCTGAACCCGCGAAGTCTGTGCCTAAGAAGGGCTCCAAGAAGGCCGTCACTAAGACCGCCGGTAAAGCAGGGAAGAAGCGCAGGAGGTCCAGGAAGGAGAGCTACGCTATCTACGTGTACAAACTAACAAAGTGCTGAAGCAGGTTCATCCTGACACCGGGATCTCCTCCAAGGCGATGGGCATCATGAACTCTTTCGTCAACGACATCTTCGAGCGCATCGCCGGTGAGTCGTCTCGTCTCGCTCACTACAACAAGCGCTCCACCATCAGCTCGAGAGAGATCCAGACCGCCGTGCGTCTGCTGCTGCCCGGGGAGCTGGCCAAGCACGCCGTGTCTGAGGGCACCAAGGCCGTCACCAAGTACACCAGCTCCAAGTAGAGCTCCGTCCGACACCCAAAGGCTCTTTTAAGAGCCACCCATCTTATCACTGAAAGAGCTTTTGTAACTTTCAACCATTCAAATGGCTGTGTGACTTTATGCAATATTAGTATTTAACTTTTTTTTTTTTAATTTTTTTTTTAATTTGCAATTCACAACAGCTTTTTTGTTGTTCTGGTAGTGTTGGCGTTTGCTCTCGTTCACTCGTTTGTTTTCTAATAGTGGAGTTACGTTACAGCCTGATAACCGTGAGTTAGATCAGTTTGCAAAACTTTAGTGTAAAATGTTTTCTAAGCTTAATGGCAGTAATTTCTACTCAATTCTGTTATTCTGAAAAAAAAACATATTTTGCACAAATACCTTTTTTTTTTGTTTGGTTTTTTTTTTATTTTATTTTTTTAATAATCTATCAATGCATTTAAACTGAAAAGAAAATCATAATTTCATTGAAAAACTTTTTTGACGATTTTCCATTGTGGTACAGCTTTGCCATATAGCAACATTTAAAAAATCATAAGCTGTACATTGTTGCATTTAAATCCTCCAGAAACTGGTCTTATGGAACCAAAAAAAAATTCTCCATAATACAGTACAGTATATTCGGTTTAACCTGGAAGATGATTTTATGAGGATAATTGAACTGTTACGATCAGAAAAAGTGTCAATTCAATTATCAAAGTCAAAGTCTGCTTTGTCAATTCTGCCACATGTACAGCACATACGTACAGAGAATTGAAATTGCGTTACTCTCAGACCCTTGGTGCATAAAGTTAACACTTTAACAGTAGACATAATACAGATAAATACAGTTTAAATATAAAATACAACCTATACAAATAAGGACATTGTAAAAAAACAAAAACAAAAAGTGGCATAAGGCACATGGCAGTTATAGTGCAAACCAGTGATATAAACAACTGTGAAGATATAAAGAGTGTAGTGCAAAAGAGCTTATCAGTCTGTTATAGTGATAAAGAGCTCAGAGAACAGTCTTTAAACTGTCAGAGAGGTAGTTTGCAGTACAATGCTGGATGAGGTAGTGAGCAGTCCAATGCTGCACAAAGTGACTGGTGCAGGTCAGTGTGTGTGTGTGTGTTTTGAAGGGGGGAGTGGAAGGGTCCTGGGGAGGGTCAGAGCTCAGAGGTGCGTGGGGAAAAAGAGAGGAGGAGGGGAGGGTGTGGGGGAGGGCAAGGTCCGGAGGGAGTTCAGCTTCTCCATCAGAGGGTCAGAGTTCAGTGGTGCGTGGGGCAAAAGAGGGGAGGGGGGACAAGGTTGGGAGGGAGTTCAGCTTCCTGACAGCCTGATGGATGAAGCTGTCCTTTAGTCTGCTGGTCCTGGCCTGGAGACTCCGCAGTCTCCTCCCTGATGGCAGACTGAAGAAGTCTCTCATAGAAGCATCTCACAACAAACATTTTTTCTTGCTATGAGAAAGTAAAATTTTTAGCTAAATGATTTGTCGTGTCGTGCCTCGCCGCATCCAGTGTAGACCATAGATATGTATATGTATCTATGGTGTGGACAGCATCACTGATTATAATGAGTGATGCTGTCTACATATCTTCAACCATGTTCCATCCCCGGAGAAGAGAAGAAGACGGAAGTTAGATGTGTTCAACAGAAGACAGAAGAGCATAATAACGCGGCACCTTGACAGTCAGCTTTTAAGAGAGCGTGCTCCTCTCCTATTGGTTAGAGGCGATCACAGTTGAAAACCAATCAGTGCTCGTCCCTCCAAACCCCTCCTCTTTCTGCTTCTCTTTGTTGCAGTCATTCATTGTTCATTTGCAGTAATATGTTTAGTTTTTTTTATAATAACAATAATTTAAACCTAGCTTCTGAAGAAACTGAATGTGTATAAAATGAATGTGTTCAGTCGTATATAGTAAACGCTGTATACACCAATGAAACTGATATATTAGATTTTATTCCGTTTTCTTTTCAATTGAAAATAGTAGATCAAACCAGTCTGTCACATGACATGTAATCAAAATTAGATTTGGAGCTGGTGTAACGTTATGGGTTTCATTCAAAGGCGCACAGAATGAGAACATGCTTATTTTTGTCTTACATGGCGTTTTAATGTGCTTGGCGTTTTCTTTGAATTTAAGTGATTTACCAAATAAAGAGAAAACACAATCAGATGGCAATGGCATGTAATTTAGAGCAGAAGTGAAACTGGCAGGACAGCAGAGGAAAATATTGTCTAATCGTCATTGCTCTCCTTTCTTTGAATTCTTTCAATGGGTCTATAAGGGGTTTAACAATTACACTGCATGATATTTGAAACCCATTTGTTTTCTTGTATAAGTGACAAGAAGAGTAACATAAAAGTATAAGTAACAAGTAACAAAAAGAGCGGGAACTGAAACAAAGGAACCTTATTCATATCATTCCGCTGATGTCGTTCAAACACGGAGCGGTGGGCGGGGCTATCAAGTCTCCGCCTGTGATTGGCGCTCATTCCGCTCGTGATACTTCGAATTGTCCAATCACATACGAGTTTATGGGTTTGGTCTATGGAAGCAAGCAATCAGAAGGCTCCATATCTCCTTGAGAATTAGCATAGCCGAGTCAATAAATGTCTCTGTCCTGCTTTTAAATTATCGTTGATTCGTCAGCATCAACATGCCTGAGCCCGCGAAGTCTGCGCCTAAGAAGGGCTCCAAGAAGGCCGTGACTAAGACCGCCGGTAAAGCAGGGAAGAAGCGCAGGAGATCCAGGAAGGAGAGCTACGCTATCTACGTGTACAAAGTGCTGAAGCAGGTTCATCCTGACACCGGGATCTCCTCCAAGGCGATGGGCATCATGAACTCTTTCGTCAACGACATCTTCGAGCGCATCGCCGGTGAGTCGTCTCGTCTCGCTCACTACAACAAGCGCTCCACCATCAGCTCGAGAGAGATCCAGACCGCCGTGCGTCTGCTGCTGCCCGGAGAGCTGGCCAAGCACGCCGTGTCTGAGGGCACCAAGGCCGTCACCAAGTACACCAGCTCCAAGTAGAGTGTGATCGGATTTATACCCCAACGGCTCTTTTAAAAGCCACCCATCTTATCGCTGAAAGCGCTTTCTTATGCGTTCAAACGTAAACCGTAACTTTAGACGACAATAACCTTCGCATTTGGGCGTTTACGTAATATTATTCGTTCTTTTTTCGTTGAAGACAAGAAAAATACAATACATAACTGCAAAACAAGTTATGACGGTAAGTAAATAGCAGTCTGCGTTCTTCTCAACCCCAAATAAACCAGTTCATTATGCTTATTTACTTCAACTCACCCTGATTTTAATTTTCAGGTTTGCAAATCTCATTTAAATGTGTTTTGTTCATTTTGCAACCGTACGTAACGTTATAAGGATAAAATCACTTACACCAAACGTATGTTGTACTAGTGCTTTGTAGATGGAATATACAGTATCCATTGGGTTTAAGTTAAATATTAAAGGATACTGTATACATTAAGGGAGTAGTTTCTCCGACAATGGAGCTGGATATGTGGAATGAACGCAGGATTTGTTGAGTGTCCGTGATAATGGGTCATTAATACAAGGCCTTGGCACCCTGGGCAAATAGGAACGGTCTCTAGGGCCACAATTCTCACATTTAATCGGAGGAAACAACTATATTGTATAATGAATATACTTCAAAACTTGGGGTGTGCCAAGACATTCCTCTAAATTCATCTGACAAGACTAAGGAATATTGTTCATCTTGTATCCCAAATAAATAAAAGTAACAAGAACAAAACGGCCACTTCCTTTAGTTTTCCATTTTAAACGCATGTCTATTATAAGCTATTAAAGACATCGCTCTGCTCAACAGTGAATGAAGAAACTGGCGAGGGAGGAGGAGTTATTGTTTTTCAACTGTGATCGATTTTAACCAATAGAAGAAGAGCACACTATCTTAAAGGGGTCATATGATGTTGCTAAAAAGAACATTATTTTGTGTATTTGGTGTAATGAAATGTTTATGCGGTTTAAAGTTAAAAAAACACATTATTTTCCACATACTGTACATTATTGTTTCTCCTCTATGCCCCGCCTTTCTGAAACACGTCGATTTTTACAAAGCTCATCGGTCTGAAAAGCGAGGTGTGCTGTGATTGGCCAGTTATCCAGTGCGTTGTGATTGGCCGAATACCTCAATCGTGTGACGGAAATGTTACGCCCCTACCATATTGTTGATGCCGTCTACCATGAGTGGAGGCCGGCGGGCTTGCAGCAACCACATGTGACAACCCCGGGCTGGACTCCGCTTCGTCCACGGTGAAAGCCGATCCGGTGATCCACAGCGCAAAGTTGATGTATTCCCTCAGCGACCAGCACGGATCAGCTCCAGGCATGACGAAGCGGATATCGTCCTCTTTTGGAAGGCCAAACAAAGTAGTTTCACTTTCACAACGAAACACAGCATCTTCACGACATGGCAGAAATAAAAGTTACGCCTTCTTTCTTTGCGTGAACATTTGGGTGGCGTTATGCAAATCTTCCCACATCGTGACGTAGATATGTGGGGGCGTGTTAGAACGAGCCGTTTTAGGTAGGTGTGGCTGACTCTTAACTTTTATAAAGAATATCTCTTTGGATTTGAGACTTTAGTCTTTGCAACTTTACAGATCTTCTTTATGCACCAAGAGCTTGTAACACTCCAAAGAGAAAGGAAAACTTGAAATTGCATCATATGACCCCTTTAAAAGCTGATTGTCAAGCTCCAGCACTATCATTTTTGCATCATCCCGTAGAAACAAATATTTTGTGAACTTTAACATGAGTGGAAGAGGCAAAACCTCTTAAGCTACAAGAATACTTTTTTGTGCAAAGAAAATGTCCACAAGTGACACAGTAGAGACGAAAGTGTGGAATAAAGTTATTTTTGTTTTCTTTGCACAAAAAAAGTATTCTCGTAGCTTCGTAACTTTACAGAACCACTGATGTCACACGGACTACTTTGTCGATCATCTTGGTACTTTTCTGGACCTTGAACGTGGTAGTTACCTTGCTGTCTATGGAGGGTCAGAGAGCCCTCAGATTTCATCAAAAATATCTTAATTTGTGTTCCGAAGATGAACGATGGTCTTACGGGTTTGGAACAACACGAGGGTGAGTAATTAATGACAGCATTTTCATTTTTGGGTGAACTAACCCTTTAACATGGATACACAACACACTTTTCAAACCATTTCATAATCACAGATGGTAATGCAACTGGTCTAAAATCATTATACTCTGTACCTGTTCCTAAGATAGCTAGGCCTTTAATCAATGTTATTTTCCACAAACTGGGAACAATACCTGAATCCAAAGATTGTTGAAATATAGGAAGCCAAGCTGGAGTCAGTTCATCTGCGCAACACTTAACAATATGGGGAGAAATTCCATCCGGGTCTTTCCGATTTCTTTGAACAAATATGTTTAAAATAGAAGTTAATCTGACTCTGATCAATCAATAACTTACCTTTAATAATATCTGAAAAAGACTCCATTACACCAATACTATTCTCAGAAATATGGCCACACTTCGCAAATCTTAGATACAAGTCATTTAAATCATTCACTTTCTGTAAATCATCAAAAAAAATAAACTATTTCTGAAAGACTGCATATTAGTTATAGATTTCATAGTCCCATAGCTGTTTAGGGTTAGACATATACAGCTTGTTCTCCAGGAGTTCTTTATGTTTATTCCTGTCATTCAACTCCTTCTGAACAACTCTTACTCCATGACTATCATGATGACTGCGAAAAGCCAGTTTCTTCCTGTTAATGGAGTCTTTGATCTCCTTTGTTATGTAGGGTTTATTGTTGGCATAAATGAGCACTTCCTTCTTGGGTATCACATTATCGGGCCAAAATTTAATATAATCTGTTATTACCACGGTAGTTTCATCAATATCATCGCTATGGAAAACTTCCCAATCAGTACAAAGAAAACAGCCTTTCAAGGCTTCAACACTGTCCTTTGACCACACATTAACATTTTTCACAACGGGTTTGTCTCTTCAACTGTCTATATGTCAGAATTAAAACCACAGTGTTGTAACCTACAGTCATGGCCAAAAGTTTTGGCAGTGACATAGATTTTGTGTTTTGCAAAGTTTGCTGCTTAAACTGTTGTGGTGTTTATTCACATTGTTTCTAGATTATTGTGTATGCGACCAGGTGCATTTTAAATAATTGCTAAAAGCTTCATTGGCCAAAAAATGTCACTTTTGGGATCCTGACACAAAATGACCAGCTAACATTAATTTACTAATACCAGCAGCACATGTGAAAGTGTGAATGAGTACTAGTCAGGTAAAATCACTATCATACTAATTAGATTGTAAGAGCAGACTGATTGCTGTAAAAGGAGGGAAGAAGCGCTTTCAATCATTGTGTTTTTGTTAGCAATGGTTACCTCCAAAGAAACACGTGCAGCCATCATCGCTTTGCATCAAAATGGCCTCGAAGAATATTGCACCTGAAAGAACCATTTACCGGATCATTAAGAACTTCAAGGAGAGAGGTTTGACTTTAGTGAAGAAGTCTTCAGGACGTCCCAGAGTGTCCAGCAAGCGCCAGGACCGTCTCCTCCTGAGGAGTCAGCTACAGAACAGGATCGTCTCCTCCTGAGGAGTCAGCTACAGAACAGGACCGTCTCCTCCCGAGGTTTCTCTGATGAAGCTCCCTTCTGACTGTTTGGGACATCTGGAAAATCGATTGTTCAGAGAAGAAAAGGTGAACGCTATGAGTCCTGTGTTGCGCCAACAGTGAAGCATCCTGAGACCATCCCTGTGTGGGGTTGCTTTTCAACCAAGGGAGAGGCTCTCTAATAATTCTGCCCAAAAACACTGCCATGAATAAAGAATGGTATCAAAACGTCCTGCAAGAGCGACTTCTAACGATCCATGAGCAATTTGGTGATGATCCATGAATTTTCCAGCATGATGGAGCACCATGTCACAAAGCACTGAAATTTTGGATCCGTGGCCAGGCAACTCCCCGGATCTCAATCCCATAGAGAACCTGTGGTCAGTCCTCAAAAGGCAAGTGGACAAGCAGAAGCTCACAAATTATGATCAACTCCGAGAACTAATAAGGCAAGAATGGATCGCCATCAGTCAGGATTTGGGCAGTCAGACAAATACCAAAGCAGCAAAATTTGTAAAACACAAAATTTATGTTACTGCCAAAACTTTTGGCCATGACTGTACAATCCCCCGCCGGACCTGAGACTCGAACCCCCAACCTTTAGGGTTACAAGTCCGATTCTCTAACCATTAGGTCACAACTGCCCCCTATATAAATGTACTTGCGTATGCCCATGAAAGTCACTGAATTAATTTGTTGCACAAATGGACCGCTTTAGTTTTTACTGTCCAAGTTTATTTTTGTGTCGCCATTATTTATTCAATTTCCTCAATATGCCAAAGCCGAATGCTCCTGATACACTTGCTTAAGGCTCTAAGCGCCCATGCCATCTTAAAGAGGAGAGGGGAGAAAAATAAATAAATAAAAACAGTATTAAACAATAGCTTGCAGATCCCAATCCATTTGTTGCATTCCATGCTTTGCCTGGGAAATAAAGCCACAAACTCAGTGTTACTTCTGTTTAGGCTACAATACGAAACATTATGTAAAACTCATGTAAGGTGTGAAAACTAGCAGTGCATTGCAAAAGCTTTGTTATTATTATTAAATTCAAAACCATATTTGTGACAATTCCGCAAAATAATCATACAACAACAACATTGCGTAAGGATTCAAACCCTTTTTTATGGCACTTCCAATTTTTTTCTGGATCATTTTTAAGAGGTTTCTACACTTAACCTGTGACTAACTGAACTGATTTGACATGATTTAGGAAGGTACAAAGTTGTCTATACAGGGTTTAACAGATGAAAACGCATATACAGAAACCAAAGTCATTAGGTAAAAAATAACTACCTGCAGAACTCCGACACGATTTCTGCTGCATTGAAGGTTCCCAAGAGCATAGTGGCCTCCATAATTCATAAATGGAAGAGGTTTAAAACAACCAGGACACTTTCACGTTAATACCAGGTGTAATAGATCGAATAGAAACGCTAACAGCTCTCTCCATCTCAATCATTAACTTGACAGACAAATGCACTCTAAAGACACACGCTTCATTTACTAGATCATTTTCTTCCAAAAATACTTTAATAAATGTTTGTAAGAATGCATTTGCAGACAGCATGGATAAATCCATAAGTACTTGCAAATTTAAAAGCGTGCATCTTAAACCTCACTTTTCATAATTTATTATAAATAATGCAGAATACATCCATAAGTGGCACAACAAACATGAAATAAAACCCACTATGACCAAAAAGACAAGCTACCGTGAGTAAATAGTTAAAAAGAGAAAAGTGCTCTAGCATTCAATGTATATTCTGCAAACAGAAATGAAGTCTAATAAAAGACAAGTGATGCTGAATCCATTTCAGAGTCGACTGTAGGAAGTGTGCCCACCCTCATGTAGTCTACAGTAGTCCTGACCCACCAGAGCCCTCTTTCGGCATGGCTGACCCAGCCGAGTGATACCGCTGCACAGCGGGCAACCTGAAAAAGAACTTCACACAAAATAAAGTTGAAAAGTGAAAAGTTGAGCGAGAGAACAGTAAAAATAGTGTATTTTCAGGGATGTAACGATATCAAAATCTCACGGTACAATAATACCTCAATATAAAGTGCACGGTACAGTATTTATAGTGATATTTAAAACAAATAGACAAATGAAGACTTGGGAAAAAGTGCCATAAGTGTTTATTAAATGCTTGAACATTACAATGATGTACAAATTAACCATGTCATATCCTGTCCTCTTTTCTTTATCCTCTATAAAAGGAAGTTTTAGGTCATTTGACCCATCTTTTACTATTGATTAAAGTAATTGCACCAGCGCACCTTGACAAAGGTAACATCTATTATTTTTTTCTCTGACATTCTCTATGCTACCTTCCTCGTAGATTAGGTATTGATTTTAAAGTGCAAAAAAAAAAAAAGTCACATGTATTTCACCGCAGTCTGGCAGTGTCTGCATATAGTTTTTTGTCTGTCCATCACCTTTTCTCCTTTCTCCTGTATGAATCATGATATGTTCTATGGTAATTATACAATAATATGTGACCCTGGAGCACAAAACCAGTCATAAGGGTCAATTTTTTTTTTTTTAATTAAGATTTATACATCTGAAAGCTGAATAAATAAGCTTTTCATTGATGTATGGTTTGTTATGATAGGGCAATATTTGGACGGTACACAACTATTTGAAAATCTGGAATCTGAGGGTGCAAAAAAATAAATATCAAAATACTGAGAAAATAACCTTTAAAGTTGTCCAAATAAAGTCCTTTGCAACGCATATTACTAATCAAAAATTAAGTTGAGATATATTTATGGTAGGAAACTTACAAAATATCAACAGTTTTATTGTACAAAAAAAAAAAAATAAATTTAGTGTCAATACAGACACTGCACATCTATATAGTCTTTGGCTGCATCCATTGCATCAGACATGTTTAAGAAAAGTTTCCCACTCATAATAACGACTTTGTGGTGGCTTTCATGTGTGTTCAAATCTAAATAGGATCTATCCAACATGACTAGAAAGCACCAGTAGAGGCAGCAGGGAGCAAAGGACGATAGGAATGCATGGGTCGATGGGAATTGTAGTTCCCACTTCCCTCCGCTCTGCTCCACTGGGCTGAAAAAAACTACACTTTTTGCATGAAGACCTATCGTTTCATACAGTCATGTGACCACGATGATATTGAGAATTTTGCTATGGCGATACCACGAAATTAATAATATCGTTACATCCATTTTTGTCTATCCATATCAAGACCCAAGAACAAAGTCAAATAGATTCCTATAAACCATTTACATCTGCCCTCTCTTTATTCATCTGCATAAAGGATCAACTTTGAATTGATGTTGACGTTAATAAGAGTTGAATAAAGGATACCGGTTGCTGGCGAGTGAATGGTTGGGGCTTGCGCTTCGGGAGTGGTTCACGGTCTCCAACACACCTCCTAGGTTCCTCCGAGGAACATTCTCCAGCACTGCCTGCCAATCAGATAATGACTTCAAGAACATGTTCAAAGAAATGTGCATTTGGCAATCTAATTAAATACTATTAATGATACATACAACAAAATCACTGTTAGTAGTAACAACTACTCACTGCTCCAATGCTGTGGCGAATCTTGAGTCTGGGGGTTGAGTGGTTGGGTTTGCCTGAAATTAGATGACTGAACTTTGGTGGACCATGAGACCGAGATGGGGACATGGACAGTATGTACGGATCACCTACATCAAGTGGGAGTGGTGAAAAGAGAGAGGAGGGAAAAAATATTATATATAAAATCTAGATCTTTTACATGTTCTGAAGCGCATGAGAGTTATGGTTGTCTGTGTGAAAGTGAAAACCCACTACCATGATGCTAGTGGTTGTGTGGTTGGCAGCTGGTTACAAATGTGCTCTGAGAGGTTTTTAGTGTGTTGCTATATGGATTCTAGGGTGTTTTCTAGTTGGTTGATCACTACCCTAAGTCAACAGAGCCCCCTCCCAAGTCTATATGGCCTTCCAAGCACTGCAAAATTTTGACAACCAGGATTGTGATTTTTAGAGGTGCAAATCTAAATCTAATGTGCGGTATAAATCACGCTTCAACTAACATTCTCTGGTTCAAAACCCATCTGCACAAGCAACTTTACATGGATTAATGTTGGCATTTTGTTGCATTGTTCATTGAGGCTCTTAGCCATTTATATTTATACATACATACATACAACAGTTGTCACTCCTGTCTTCAAAAGCCACATGATACAATGCAGAACAGACCAAGTCACAATTTAATGCTTCGAGTTTTGTGATTGTTAAAATATGTAACAGGGTTCCCGCAGAATGTAGGATTATTTTTTTTTTTTTTTTTTTTTTTATAACAGTTGTCACTCCTGTCTTCAAAAGCCACATGATACAATGCAAAACAGACCAAGTCACAATTTAATGCTTCGAGTTTTGTGATTGTTAAAATATGTAACAGGGTCCTTAAAATTCAGTTTGATCAAAATTAAGACCATAAAGAGTCTTAAAAGGATAGTTTACCCCAAAAAAATTATATCCTAATTTATTCACACCATGCTGTTCTAAACCTTGGTGATATTTTGAAGAATGAAGAAACAAACAATGTTCCACAGAGGAAGATGGTAACCAAAGACTGGTTTCCCCACTGTCTTCCATTCTAGTTTTTGTCCATAAAATGGAAGTTGATAAGAGCCAAAACTCTTTGGTCATCAGCATTCTTTAAAATACCCTCATGTTCCACAAAAGAAAGTCAGTCATACAGGTCTGGAACGAAATGAGAGGGAGTGCATGGCAGAATTATCATTTTGGTTGGATTTAGCCTAATCATCTTAGGAAGTCTTAAATTCGGAAACGTTTCGGCGCAGTTCCAAAAATACCGTTCATTTATGCCAAGCAACTGTCATAATTCTTCAACAGTAGATCATAAGCAATGTTTACTTCATGGTTCTAATAGTGTAATTATACAACCATCTACAACACATGTAAACCATAAACCAATTCAAATGCATAGGCTGGGGCACACATTCAACTGCAAAAGTGTATTCATTATATGCATGTTTAATAATAAAAAATATATATTTCTAGATTGAATGGGTATTAATTTCATGGGCCAGATTTACTAACAGCTCGGTAGTGCAAACCCTCCACTGGTAGGTAGGTAAATAAAAACTGCCGTCAGGATTCACACAGTGAAAAATTTGCGCTGAAAAGGCATGAAGAGTTATTTTTGCAGCTGATCTTATTGCATATGCATTTGTATGAGTTTCCCTTTCAAATGCAAAATTTATGTGAGAGGGGTTTTCAAAGGGATCACACAACGTGTTGCGTGAAGGTTTGCGCTAGTCAATTTACTGGTATTAGTGCCATAATTTACCACACCCCCCCAAAAAAATAATGTCTTAACCCAGTGGTTTTCAACCTGTGGGCCGCAACGGTATTGCAGGGGGGCCGCCAATTACTATTAAAAGAAATAATAATATTGTTAATATATGTAAAAATGTCTAAGTCATAACATAATATCTTAATTTCATATATATAATTAAATAAAAAATAAATATTAAACTGTTACTTTGCTTCCACTATTCGAGCTCGCTGATTGGTTTAAGAATAAACCGCCAATTCTAAAATATTTTTGCTGCATATGCTACAGAACAACAGATTCAAACATGGATAAAT